TATTGTATGGTTTTCCAAACTCTAAAAAGTTTTTTCCAAATTTCTCCAAATGATTTTCAAACGATTGAAAAAAATAATTATAAATAATTTTTAATTAGTTTGTCAACTATATGTCGGTCTCAATGGACCTGGGACCATATCCTCGAGCCTGTTTTAATGATTTTCGTATGCGACTTTCTATTTGAAAAGCATCGAATTTCGCATGCAAGTTTCATGAAAACGATTTGAGAATAATAGGGCTCCTGCTGTATCTACCCAGTGAACACATTTCATAACGGCAATATAACATGGAAGTTACATGTAATATCACAATGTTATTCTTGTGATATATAAGGGCTACATAACATGGAAGAAACATGCAATTTAACATTTGTTATATGCAGGTAATATAACTGTTGTACATTTTTTTTACGTTACAGTTATGTAACAAAAATTGTGTAATTGTTACGTAACACGCTTGGATCAATGTTAGTATAACTAGTAATATTCTGGTAATATTAATGGAGTGTAACGGAATAACATATACAATATAACTGTTGATTTGCTTACTGCTCACGTTTTTCTATGTGGGTGCCCGGGCTTTTAAACCCTGCATCGTTTTATTTTGCTAGAGCTAATAATAATCTGCGCTTTTCATCATAAATTTTTAATTGTTTTTAAATATATATATTTTGTTTGAAAGGTTTAATATTGTGCAGAGGCCCTTTAGTTTGCCTTAAGGCAAAAATTATAATTTACAAAATACATAATTTATAATTAATAATTATTAATAATTTACAAGATATTTATAATTTATATGATCAATTTATATAATCATCCATCCATATCGGTAAATAACGTAATTAATCATCATGATGCATATTACCATTACATGTACCAATTTAGTAGAATGCATTTACGTACTGCTTCTATGTACATATAATAGATATAATGTCAATATTAAAAATTTGTGCAGCTATATACTCTTTTTAAACTTAATTTGTTTCTTAAGATGATTTTTGAAAAATTATATATTTGCGCTGGTTGTGACATATGTAGACTATATATAACACTTACATCAAATTAAGAAGTAGCCTACCACGTAAGGCAGTTGGCTCACGATCCAGAGGACCCGAGTTCGAATCCCACCAAGGTAAGTGTTTTTTAAATACGAGAAAATATTTATAATTATAGACTGCATTTTAAGAAACAAATTTAGTTATAAAATTGTAATAAAATCTCGAAAAAAAATAATATTTTTTACGCTCATTATTACAGCTAGTACAACAGTTGGTGTAACTGTTACGTAATAGTTAAATAACACGTTATGTAACATGTTATATTGCTGAGTCGGAAATTGTAACTTACATGTAAGTTACATGTAACACTCTGGTTGATATAACCTGTTATATTTGGTTACATTGCCGTTGCATTGCTACTATATTACTGTGTTCACTGGGCAAACACCAAATATAATTGATATATAACCTGGGAGTAACAGATTATATAACAAGTGTTATACTGTAGTAGCATAACAGTTATATAACTTTACTTTATTATTGTTATATAACTAGGTTATAAAACTATTATATTACTCCGTTATTCATATGTTATAATAAATGCACAATTATACAACTGCAATATATGCGTGTTATACAACAACGATTGCGTTGATATTATATAAATATTATATAACGTAATTTCAATTACTGCCGGAATTATATAACTTCGATAGCATGCGCCATAGAAGCGCGCGCAAGTTCGCGGTCTCTTTCCGCTTCTGCTCGTGCCATCGTGCCACGATCGTGACGTACGATATACATTTTAGAAGACCGCGGACCGCGCCCGTCCGTGGGAGATCGTGAACCGCGTTCGCGGGTGTCTCGTGTGCGCGACGGCCCGTCGCTCGTGAAAAAACGCGACGCCGGCGAGAGATGGTCAAGGACGTGCCTTTGATTCGCCCTCGTACGAGAGATAACCTATTTGAAAGTATGTATACGTATACGTTAGAAGCTAGGTTAGGACACGTTGTGCATATCAATAATGCGACAATAATATAGGTCTCTTTCCGCTGATCCGCTAGTGCCATCGTGCCACGATCGCGACGTGATCGCGACGATATACATTTAGAAGACCGCGCCCGTCCGTGGGAGATCGTGTACCACGTTCGCGGGTGTCTTGTGCGCGCGACGGCCCGTCGGTCGTAAAAGGACGCGACGCCGGCGAGAGATGGTCGAGGACGTCCCTTTGATTCGCCCTCGTACGAGAGATAACTTGAAGATATGTATATGTACGTTAGAATTAGCTATTATAGGTTAGAACACGTTGTGCACATATATAATATAGAGGTACTTTCCGTTTTACGCACGATGCACTGTCACGACTTTTTACCCGTTCGGGCGCAAAGCCGGATCAAAAGGGA